ACGAAAAGGGCTCACCAGTGTAAACCGAAGTGATAGAGTTTGACTTCTGAAGTTAGGTCATAAAAGCAGCTTACTCACTCTGGGGGAAAGGCAGTTGACATGTTGTGAGGACACTCAAACAGGCTGTGGAGAGTCCCATATGTGGAGGAAATGAGGCCTTCTCCCACAACCAGCACTGGCTTGCCAAACATATAACTGAGCCACCTTAGAAGCAAATCCTTCGGTCTCATTCAAGTTTTCAGAAAACTGCTTCAGAAGTCCATCTTGGACTTCATGGTCAGCCACTTCAGTGGCCTAGATCAACACCTTGAGTGCCCTTGACCTCACTGCTCTACTGTTTCCATTTCACCAGTTCTAGCCATGGCTGATATCTTGACTGCAACCACATGAAAGAGCCTGAGCCAGGACTAGCAAGCTAAGTTACTCTTGAATTCCTTACCCAAAGAAACTGTGAGGATAATAAATGCTTATTATTTTTAATCCACTGTGTTTTGGGGAAATTTGTTATGAAGCAGTAGATAATTAATACACTGGTATATAGTACACATACAAGGATGAGGTTAGCCTTGGAGGGAAGTATGCCTCTGAGATAAGGGAAAAGAAGGTGTTATAAGAGTTAAGTCTAGGGATGTGACAGGAAGTTAAGTTTGATTACCAGTATTTCCTCTAGGGAGGAAGAGGCAAAGCCACCTGCTGAAAGTGGAGGTGGGCAGTAGGGACTATAGAGTTGAGAACAGTAAGAAGGGTGCCATGGTCACCAGGTAAATCTGAAAAAGCTAAACAGGAATGAGTGCCTGAGCTAAGAAACCATACATTTTCATTGGAGTCGGCTGGCATATTTGTATGATTTCCTATCACTATGCTTGATAACCCAGAAGAAACAGAGTAAGAGATGGTGGGTTTCCCTTGATTTGGGAACTGGTGAAATGGAAACAGTAGAGCAATGAGGTCAAGGGCACTCAAGGTGTTGATCTAGGCCACTGAAGTGGCTGACCATGAAGTCCAAGCTGGAAGACATAGAAATGAGTTCAGGAGGAAACTCAGAGCCCGGGAGCATGGGAGACTGAACTCAAAGTCAACATTTAGGGAAGCAGGATGGGTACAGAAGCCAAAAGCAGTGCATTAGAGATCAGAACTCTCAGTTCCGGGCACAGTTCACTATTAACAAGCTGTGGATCCTCAGCTACGATACAATTTTCAAGGCCTGTTACACCCCACCCCCCAACACCAGGGGTAAAAATATGTAAGATGCCAAGTAAGAACAGTGGCTTGCCTATAGTAAGCACTCTCTATTTTAGCACTTATTCCTAAAAGTTTTAAAATTATATTTAATATACACACGTGAAATCTAAGATAAACACTGGGAAACCCACTATTCAAGTTATTGAGTGTACTACTAACACACTGTGTATGCCCTGATCCTATCCCCTCAGTTTCTCTCCTAGAGATAACTGCTAGCCTGAATGTTGTGTTTACCATTCTCTCTCTTTTAAAAAATGCTGTGTTCCACATTTGTACAGGGCCTGCTTCTTCATCGGTAAGATGAAGCTTTGGAATAGGTGCTCTCTAAGCTCCCTTCCAGCTCTAAAGAGTATATGAGATATGATGGGTAGATATCAAAGTTATATACCTAGTGGTACCATGTCAATGCTTATTTTTCATAAAGCTAAACCACTGACTCTTCTGCTGAAATCTCCAATTCAGCAAAAGGATATCTCAATGGAGCTTCTAACCTCAAGACCAAGACTTTTCATCACTTTCAATTTGCACCTCTGCTATAAAGTTCTACTCTAGAGAAAACCAATACAAGCTAAATAACCTAAACCCCTGGCCTTGTCCAAAGAAAACCTGAATCCCATGTTTAAGGAAAATAGAACTGAAACAGATGAACTGGGAAAACATTCTTTATTTCAGTGACAGGTATTTTAATAAAAACTAAGAGGCATGGTTGAATTTATATGCAGTTTTTCATATTTTTATTTTTTCCGTATATGTGTATATATATATGTGGAATATATAAATAAAACTAAACTTGTCTTCATGTTTCTTCTTTACACTGTTACACTACTTTACTTTAATCTAAAACAGTCTTTAAATAAGGTAAACACAAATGCAAACCTGTTGACCACATGGTTGTTCTCTGGGGTCACTGTCTGGCCTAGGGTACTGTTCTTAGTTATAAATGATCTTAGATTTCACATTTGTCTCATCAGTTACCAAGATTTTATAAGTTATTTGAGTTGGACCAGGCAGTGGAATTGCTGTGTAAAGGGCAAATGCTCTGTTCATACTCAGGTCTGCATCAGATCTTAGCATGGCTGGAACAGAAAGTCAGCTGAGACTGTTGGTATGAGGTGATAGGCAAATGTGTCTTCAATGGCCTCTGAAGAGGCCGTGACTGTGAAATAGGATGTAACTATATTACAAACCTTAACAGTACCAGGAAAGCAGTGATCAAAAGAACGAATAGTCACTACGGTATTTTTCTCATGGAATTTAGGTAGTTTTCCTTATGCTACCCATTGAACTGATATAAAAAATTGAGTATTTTCTTAAAGCTCTCTTCCCAAGCCCAGTCCTCTATTGATCATTTAAAATATAGTATACAAATCAACTTGATTTTTATAACCTGTCTCTTTGAAAACGGTAATAAGTCTAATGTTACCTCCTTGATTTCTACCTACCTTGGAGCTTTACTATGAACTGTGACAAGCACAACTAAAGGACCCCAAGCATGCCAGTGTAGGTATATACATTTTGTCTAAGAGACTAACATATGCAGCTACTGTTCTGCCTCACTAATGAAAGTGTAGTTCAGTGCATTATTTGAAATAAATTCAAATACTCTCCTTGTTTAGCTCAGGAGAGCCAAGCATCATTTATTACCTACATTTGTATTCTTGGTAGGACATCTGCAAATCACAATGGCACTTCTAGAACCCCTACAGAGAAAGGCAATCTCCCAAAAAGCAAATCCTCTCCTTGGGGTACAGCAGGGAAGCCCTGGATAAGATCAAAATGCAGTATTCAAAGGCTCTCTGGGCTAAACTTTTGAAACACCTCTGCATTTAACCTTTAACTGAAATTAAGGTAGAATAGAATATTCAACTGTTTATCTTGTATTGTTCACATTCCAAAGGGAGGGTATCCTCTGAAAAAGAGGGTCCCAAAGATAAGCTGCTCTTCCAACTTTGTTAGTAGTTGAGTTAAATAGTTATTTTTTTGTTCTAGTTTTTGGAAATCTACAAAAATCTACAGTAAACTAAACCCAGACTAGTGAATCCGAGGCTTAGTAAAAAAATCCTGATCAGTCTCTCATAGCTCCTGGACCAGACAAATTGGCTGTTTTAATCAGCATGCTAAAGAAACAACTGGATTTTCAGTTTTGTGAGCTAACAAAATTAACAAAGGCATCCTCCTCCTCCTATAGGGAATGCTACTCACACTCTGAAAGGGCAAATGTTTTGTGGTTAAGTTCTAGCTGTCAGCAAAGAGGTATCCTTCTAAAATAGTAAGTTTTTCATTTGTTGTTCATGAATGATATATGTTAGCCTGTCTTACCCTACCCTTTAGATACCTGAAAAATACAAAGTAACTATCTTCTATTTAATTCCTTTGTTGAGTTGTATTCAGGTAGCTAATTCTTTGCAATGAGACTCACACTCCTGCCTTGTTTTTCCTAAACTAAGTAGAAGTTCTGGGTTTTAAGTGTAGTATAAACAGTTTTGTTCTGTCATCACCCAGACAAAATCAGAAGGGTTTTATATTTTCCAAATATAAAACTATTTTAAAATAAAAGTCAGTTGTTGTGAGGTGTTGACTGACACACTAACTTAAGTGACCAGAATTAGGGGCATAATAGGTCATTTTTTTCCCCTCCTTAATACAGCAACACCCTCTCCGGAAGAAATGGCCTAATTACTCACTTAAGATCACATAGCTGGAAGCAGAATTACTGCTGGAGTGGGGCTTATCTTGAACCTGTTTCTGGAGATTGGAACTAAATAAACAGCTCTGCTTCATTAGGAGAGAATCCTGTTTTGTGTAAAGCTCGTGGAAGGAGGCATTCCACAAGAGCCCACTCCCGCACAAACAATGCTAGAGACCATTTTTGGAATTATTTGTCAGTATGCTTCATCTAAGTCCCATCTACACCAGATCCCAAATCCTTCCCCATGCCAGAGAACTTTAAAACCAAACAAAACCAACCAAACGAGAAAGAAAACAAAAATAATCCAAACAAACAAGAACTTGTCTGGGAAGGCTATGAAGTCTCCTTGTAAGGGCCAACAAAATGCGAGGCTAGCCAGAGCCTTGGCTGTTTCAGAAATCTAACTTATTACACACACTTCCCAAGGTATTCAGCAGGGCCCTCACACCTTTAAGCTTTGAAGCTTAATCAGATTTCACACACAGGTGGAAAGCCTCTCACTTCTTCACATGTACATTGGTTCCTTCCTTCCATTCCAATCTTCACTCTACATAAGCCACACCTAGTTTCAGCCAGTACAATTTCTAGCCAGAATGTGGCAGTAATAAAAAAAGGAAAGGAGACATACCCTAGGTTGGAAATATTAAGGGAGCAAGATGTCCTAAGATCTACACAATGGGAGTATTCTGCTATATAAATGCTATCAATATCTTGGAGACACTGGATAGAAAAATGCACTGATCAGAAAAGGCCCATTCCTATAAATGCTAAAAGGAATTTGGTCCAGGTGTATCAGAGAACACATATGCACATTTGCTTTTCCCAACCCAAGTATCTTGCCTGCTTTGACTGAATCCTTTAAGGTAATTTTAAATGATTATGTTTCATTAATGTGGAATGGGAAGTGATCTCTGATCTTGGGGCTGCAGGTACTTTACCAAATTGTCAAGTTATCTATCTCAATGGTTTATTTGAAACAGTTCTTGTAGGTATGAAGGTTCCTTCTTGCATAAAACGAGTGAGGACTCAAAGGGGGCAGAAAAAAAAGTACTTGTCAGTTTGAAAGTCAGGCAGTTTATCTTTCTACAATTAGATTAGGATGAAAATGAAGAACCCATTGGTAGCAGGACAAAGCAAGAATCTTCTAGGGTCTGGCATCTGCAAGGAAACAAGAAAATACAAAGTTGTTAGTTCCTTTCAAAGCAACCAACCACGTGACAGACACCAGGCCACACAACTATGCCCTTCTTAAAATCTCTTGGTTGGCTGGAGGAATCTGCTATTGCTAATGGCAGAACACCAAGTACCTTCTAACCTTTAGCTCTTCAGTACCACTAAGCACACAGAAGCTTATTAATTGAATGAAAAACATTCTCAAACCAAGATCATTGTGTGAACAGTTTGAGGAGGGAAAATCAGAATTGACTAGGCAAATGACTCCTCCGGACAACTGTGGATTAATTCCAATTACCTTATGTTGATCTTTTTCTCTTATCAGATACTCTATACACTCATTAACTCAATATTTTTTGAGTTGTTACAATGTATATTAATATACAAAAATTAATATATGATCTGCTTTTGAGGCACAGTTAAGAGTAAACTTGTTGATAAAAACACGAATGAGATAAAGCATATTAAGTGCACGGTTGAACAAACCCTTTTCATATGCATGCATTTAAGAAATTCTCCACCCACACTTAAGTTCCTTAAGGGAATAAATCATGTCTTCTACTTCATTTGTATCTTTCCAAAGAAGCTAGAGAGTTCTGCACCAGGCATTCAAAAAATGATGTTTTATTTTTATTAGGAGGAGGAGGTCTGTGACTATTTAAGGATTCTTACCTAACATAGGATAACTTTTTTTTCCTGATTACTCAGGGATTACCCAGCAAAATAAAATTTTAGAGTATAGTGTTTAACAGCAAGAAGTTCCAAAGGAGAGAACTGTGTAGTCTTCAATGAGAGCAACAGAAGCTTCTCCTAGGTTTTTACCTTGGAGTGGCCATTTTTACTAGGTAGCTGTTCACATTGTATGAGCACCAAGCATCTTGTTCAGTGTCAGAGAAGCTCACCCTTTATCCAGCTCTGTGTGCTTTCCTGACACACCTCAGTGCAGTTGTGTCTCTTTTTCCTTCTGGAGCCAAATCCAATTTTCTGGCTTCCAGATATATTTAACAACTTGACATCAGAATCTACTGAGAAAAATGGCCAGTATCTAGAGGCAACTGATAAATATTATTGTCTGTAGCTAAGGGGTGTTTGCTTTTAGAATCTCTTTTCTGCTTCTCACCAGAAGAAACATCATTGTTGGTACAAAATGAGCCCTAACTCACAGAAGATCCGTCTGTTTCACTGTCCCGAGAAAGTGAATGGACTGGAAGGCAACAGGCCAATTACTCATTCATTCAGTGAATATTCACTGAGGGCCTACTATCTGCAAGACAGTGGGGGTATAATCCCATTCCCAGACTAATAGGATTCCTTTTGCCAGCGGCATTGTGGCTGCATAACTTTAGCCAAGACAGCGTATGAAGCACCACACTTGGCTCTGCTATAGGTATGTAGGGTAATTTTAAGGAAACGCTTCACCTGTGAGAAGAAAAAGATTTCGGTTTCTTCATATACATTTTATGAGGTTAGGTTTTGCTAAATCAGATATACAGAAAAGACCAACAGTGCAAGACTGAGAGACTCAAGCTTGCAAGTGCTCATTAAAACAGAATATGAATTTTTTGATGAGTGTTTAACTGTATTGCTCAGGGAGAGAATTGCAGAGCAGTGAAGCACAGTTGCCTGATTAATCTTAGTCCATTAAAGAGGCATGATAGATCTAGAATGAAACTTTGGTATAAAAAAAGGGGAAAGGAAAAGGAAAAAGGCAATGTGTACTAACGTTAGGGAAAGCAACTTGGCATGTTAACGGAATTCTAATTTAACCAGTAAATGCCTATTCATTAGTGTGTAAAGCCATAACAGAGGCAATATACTTAAAAAACACAGGCACACACAATGCTTTAATTTGATACCATGATCTGAAAGAAAATTGGACCCAAATTGCTTTATGTCCAGTTAAATCTTGCTACCATCTGAAGAGAGAGTGAAATAAAACTGAAACACTTACTTGATGAGATAGATATTCAGTTACTGTGCATTTCCATCTACGGAGCAGAAATATTTCAAAATAAATACACCACGTCAATTAAAATTCATTCCATCCCTATTCTTACTATAAACTCAAATGACTTATTCCTAAGGCATACTGAATTACAATATAAAAGTAGAAGAATTTAAAATTAGTGAGTGGATTCTACTCAAGAGCATGGGAAAAGAAAACAGTCCTTTGCCTCTCAAGCCTTTTGGCATATGATTTGGCGATCTCTTCTCTTGAAAATGCGAGTATCCAAAGGGAAATGTTTTAAAGGGAATCCTCTAGCCACCTAAAAATTCGCTCAAACAGTAGCAAAGACTGAAGTCAAGGGAATCTGAATTTGGGGGCAACATTAGGAAAAGAAAGTTTGTATTAAATAAAAATGACAGTATCTTGGGTTCCATATGTGGGAATCGTACCACCACTGGGGTGGTATAATATGAATCTTCTACCTGTTTACTCAGCATGGCCTCTGATGTCTGGGGAAGACATCTGAATACCATTCTGATGCTGGTTCTTATGACTTATGACTTTCATTTTCTTTCTACCCATTTATTTTTAGGCCCCACAATCCAATTTCTAATACCAACTCCCTATTGGTATTATGCCTTGAAAGTCAGGGGCGACCTCCTCCTAGCCATACTGGTCCCCAAATGTGCCCATGGTATTTGATATTAGTGCTCACCATATCCTGAAACTATTCTTTTGGCTTCTGTGATCTTGTGCTTCCCTGTTCATAATTTTCTGTTACTAAGCAGGGCCAGGACTAGGTGAAGTGAGTGGGGTGTTTGGGGTTCAAAATTTAAGGATGGATTCACTCTCAGGATCATGTGAATGCAAGGGTTCAGACCAAACAAGTCTTTGAATAATCAAGACCAACTTCAGTTAGCACAGTGAAAAGAGTAAAAGCATTTTGCCTCTATTTCACTTACCGTTTTTCCATGGCAGAACATATGGCAGAGACTTGGGAATACGCATGCCCGAAGCCAGGTTACTCTTGTGTTCCATAACTACGTTGCTTGCAGGGCTGCAACAAGATGAATTTGACTATGCCAGCATATTTATATTCATCAGGCAGGCACACAGAAGACAATCAAACTGTGTTTTTCATAATTTGGGAGAAAACAACCACCTACATTTTGAAATGTAAATACATTCCCATCAAAACATTCTTGCAATTAGAATGATTACCACTTCTCTGGAAAGCTCACTGTTCTGTACAGGCATTAAAATGGGTCTAACCATTTTCATTTTCCAGAAATTGAGATAAACAGCAATGCCATCTACTGTTCAATTGTATGACAGGCTCATCAACTCACTCAATAAATGTAAGAGATAAAATGCCAAGACAACCAAACCAAAGGCAAAAGATTTCACAGAACTGAGGCAGAATTGAAATCGTACCAGTGGAATTCATCTTTAAATTTTTCTTAGTGCACACAAAAAATATGGTACACTACAATTACTAACTGTCCTCATGAGCTAAGAAATAAAAACTGAAAAGCATTCTATTTGGGGAAAAAAAATAAAGCCTCGCATTTCATTCCTTCAGTTTCCAATGCAGAAATACTCTCATGTGGGTTGGAAACTTGGTCTTCTAAGGTCTAAATATCAAGTAGTACTGACAAATCTTACAGGTTTAACTTAGAATCAGAATTAGTGGGAAGAGATACATTTTCTTCCCTACCCAACAGGTACTCTCAAGCTCAAATCAAGAACTTTAAAGATTATTTTTTCCTTAGACACCAGTTACCTAGAAACTGATCCACATGGTATAGCTGGAGAATTTTTCCCAAGTATTGAAATAATGTGAACCTAACAAATACATAAGAATGTCTGGCGCCACTGTCTTCTTTGCTAGACTATAAAGCTAGTATTTTTGTGTTTACAGTTTTATTAATCAAGGAATAAATAAGGGGAAAAAATCCACCAGAACAATATCTAGACTAAGTTACCACCAAGAAATGTCATCAAAGAAAGAAGTCAATTCATGCTTTGGTGGCTTCTTTTAGTAATGGAGCACTTTGATTTTGGGACTGAGACTATTTTATTTACCTGTTGTTGCCACAGTAGTTGGGTGTGCCCCAGACAAATGGGGTGCTGGTCTGTTCCCACAAATCTGCCAAAGGAAGCAAAACACAGTTTGTGATACCACCAGGTGTGACACCAGTTCATCCTAGTTGAATTTGTAGGATGCAAAACAATATACCTAAGTTCAGAGAAACAAGTAAAAATTGATCAAGTACCCTGCCTAAGTGACACAGTAGCAGGAATTTAACTGAAGGATATAAACACAAGCAACATAAATAATAATAAACGTGCCTAGTAACAACCAAACACAGATGGTACAACACAATTTATGGAAAAAAGCAGATGTAAAGAAGTGCTTTTTCCAATCAAGAGGGATGGGCTGGTTCCACGTGTCTGCACAGAGATATAAATGTGCTCATTTTGGCGTCCAATAAAAATAATAAGGCATTCAGGAACAACATGGTATGTTCATAAAAAAGGAAAATCTTCCTTCTGTCTGAAGCAAATGACTTGAAAAAGATGTAGAGGCACTTCACCTTTATCCCAGTCTTCATCACAAGGAGGGCACTGCCATGTGCATTCAGCCTGAGTCTCTCGTCCAAGGTTCCTAGTTTGGTTGACTGAAACACAACAGAGATTCTGATGTAAGAAGGGGTCACTGCCAAGTTATTGTGTTTAAAGGGATTAGTGGCTTAAAAGGTTAAATTTGTAGGATGCAAAACAATTGTACAGGGTAGCCTAATGGGTCTTTGTTTCTGAAAAGTGGATGATATGAAAGTTAAACAGAGAGGACTTATCCCCTTGCTAACAGAAGAAAAGTAGAAACAAAGATGTTCACCATATTTATGGCAATAAATGGATTTTTATTTTTAGGTGAATTATTAGTAAAATGAATCTGGTTGTTGAGAACAGAAAGCAGTCTGACAAACACAACATGACAACCTTTTGCTGCTGACATAAAAATCTCAGAAGGCAGAAAAGTGTCGTTTTTCTGAAATGATAAAAACCAAAATCAAGGTGATAATGTAGCATAGCACAAGTGTGAAGGGGCTAACCTCTAGCACTGAAACATTCTGGCTAAGTTAGTCTTACCAACATCCTGCTCAATACAACTTTTATCATCACAGTTTGAGATATGATGACTGATTTCTGCCCGAGGAACCTGGTGGCGAGCATTGAAGGGACAAGTAGCCAATTTGTTTGCAACATCAGGATGATTCTGTGGAACAAAAATGAAGGGATCTGTTAGTTCTTTGGCTCTCTTAAAGTTCCCCGGGAGCTGCTCAGCCTTATTCTATAAATGACTCCCCTGTAGTCTCTCGATAAACTTGTGGCTTAACTATGATAGGTAATGGAAAATGAAGAGGGAATTATTTATCACTCAGACAGACCATACAGACATTACCTCAAAATCATCAACATGTAAGCCTCTTTGTTAGGATTGTAGAGTGATAACATACATATTGGGTTTAAGGTGGCTCAGATGAAAGTGTACAGTGAATTTAGGATAGGGTATTTGAATCCTATCTTCTCCCTGCTGATTTCTCAGGGTCACAAGATTCAGGTGTCACAGTCTGTAATGGCTGAGCTCTCTGGGTGGATGTGTTTGAAAACTGATATTCTGGATGAATAGTAACACTAAAACATGCTCAGTCTGCATTGCAGTCGTGCTTCTGCTATTGCAATACAATAATGGTGATGGAAAATAGCTGTTGGAAGGGAACTGCAAACCAGTGAGTTTTCAGATTAACACAGAAATGCTTATTTAAAGTAATGATGCCTGAAATGAGGCTCTGAACAATTTGACGTTTATTTTAGCTCTCTCACTATGGAAAAGCCCAAATGATAAAAGTCCACTCTGTTGATCAAGTTCCATATTTTAAAACAAAAGAAGAAAACAAAACAAAGTGTTTAATGTCACTCAAATCCTATGGTAAACACACCAGCCATTAAGACATTTATTTATTAAGAGAAGGAAAAGATGTATCACAAATGATACTCTTGAAAGTAAAAAATAATGTGATGTGGGGAGAGGTGGTAAAAAAAAAACAGAGGATGGAAAAAATGGTGAGGGCAGTTTATTTCATGATTTTCCTAAGGGATATCAGGCATTCAGTCCAAGGCAAAGGCTTTGTGACCAGTGATTAAGAGCATTGGAAGAGGGAATTTATGACAATGTTTTTTTATTATTTGGCTTCATTTCCCAAACTCTATCCTTGGGACATGTTTGACAGCATAGGGGAGTAAGTTGTAGTGGTATCTGCTGGTCTGTATTGTCCAGGTTCAACTTTAAGGGATCCATGCTCTAAAGATTAAAAAGAGCTGGAGAAATAATCAACAATGGCATTACAATCATTGTCTCCAGGACTGCAAGAGAAACATCCTTTAAAGGATGTTGTTAATGAATACATGAATTGTATGCAGTTTGGACTAAATACCATAATTGTTTTCCAAGCATAAATCCTGGCAGAACTTAGGCCTCTGTATCTGACATCTGTTTTCACACAATCCTCTCAAAGTACCTCAATTAAGATATCAGCATTAAAGTCGTTTACATCAGCTAAGTCTACAAAAGGGTGACCAGAGAAAAACTTGGATGAGTTGATTTTTTTTCCCCCAGAGATGTTTACTGCTGAAATTTGGAGAAAGAGTTATTTTTAGGAGTAATCTTTTTGTGGGATAACCTCTAGCTGTTCAATTTCTCTAAAATTTCTGAACAAAAAATCAGAAGTAAGTGTATTAAAGCACTCAATCCTTATCAGGACAATGAATACATTATATTCACAAGGCAAGAGGGATGTCTCATTGCCACCAAAAATTAGTGTTTTCTCTGTTTTAAGAAGGGTGAGAAGACTCCAGAGAAGCTGTTTATAAAGGACACTTTGACACTAGTTAGAATATAAGAAAAAACTTATGGACCCAAGAAATAAATTCTTTTCTATAAATGTTGGTATCAATACAAAACTACATTCTTAAAACAATTCTGGCATTCAATTAGAACATTTATACTAAAATTACCTGAACTTTACAAAATTTGGCTTTTTAAAAGAACTCAGGAGGGCATTACAAGGAAAATTATGAAAATAATACTCTACCTTTCTGCACTTGATAAGATGATAAGGAAACCTGCAGGCCCTGATCTGGTGGTTTTTATCATAGGGGCATTGCAGTAGCTTTTCAGGGTCCAGGGAATCGACTGAAAGAGAGAATAATAGGGTAAGTATAAAGCTTAATAGGCCTTTGTAAAACTATCCAGGCAAATTGGATATTTCAACAGAATCTGTAAATAGAACAAGATGGTCTAACAGCAACTTTTAATTTTAAAGAAAGGGTAACTAAACCTTTGAAAATGAAAATATAATTCTTCGGGAAGGTAAAATTTTATCATCAGATCTTACTAAGACCAGCAAAATCAGCAATCCTGGGAGGGGTCTTACTTCATATTTGGTTGTATATAAATACTGTAGTCTTTATTGTTGGTCACCCTTACTATAAAACAAGAAGTTAAATGAAAGGATGTCCTCTTTTCTTTTTCTAACAGTACATATTTGGGGTCATTTCCATTTCTAGCTAGTCCAACTAGAACTTCCCAACCAGTATGCTGATCAGAATGGATGGTGTGCCAATATATGGATGTGGGGTCCATGGCATGTGTACCCCTTGCCCCCACAAGTCCTGGGGCAAGTTAAGGGTAACCCCTTGGCCAGCATTCCTATTTATTAGCATGCCATGACACAATAAAACTTGGTAAGCACTGCTCTGTATCAGTTATATGTTCTATGGAAGCTTGAGAAATATTAATTGATAGATTTCTTTTTCATCTGTCTGCTTTAACTTTAAGTAGTTCCTAATCTTGGTTACTCTATTACCTCTCAAATGAAACCAATACCTTTATCAAATAGCTGGTACCCTTACGAGACTATGCTTTCAGGAATCATTTCCATAGTTTGTTACTATAGAAGTTTCTCTGCACGTGAATGACTACCTTCAGGCTTTACAAGATGCCCAGGCTGAGCCCCAGATTTTAACAAGCCTGATTAAGGAAGGGAAATTAAATGGTTAAGCACATTCGGAGTATATTATGAGGACAAGAGGGAACCTAAGAAAATGCTGTTGCCATCACTGAAGGCAATGATAAAAGTGAAATAAGGTAAACAATTCACATTTGATAAGAAGCTTATAAACCAGGCTACGAAAATCAGAAGTCACTGGGGAATTGAAACACAGTTTCACTGGAAGAGTGGTAAACACGAATTGCTAACTATGATCATGATGCAAATGAGCCAGAAAGGTGATGTGAAGGACAGAATGAACAGGAAGGAAAAATCTTAGAGGACAGGCAGGCTTATTATGTCAACTAGGCTCATCCTGACCAGCAATCTTTGTATTTCTGAAGCTTCAGGACACCCATGGAGAGTTTTCAGGTGAAATTATTAGTTTCTCTTCATTTAATCTGTTCCATCACTAGCAAATGTTAGGCCACATCAGCAGCTGATGGACTGGATGTACCCTGTGACATACACACTATACTGCCCATACACTGGCATATATCAGAATTGATAATGATGGCTTCCTACCATAATGCTTTACTTCCTGGTCTCTAACCTAGGTCAGCTCTAAATTGGTTTTCTAGATTCAAACAATTTTTATTTTTAATTGAAAGATTTTTAATATAAAATTTACCATCTTTTTCATTTCTAAGTGTATTTGTTCAGTAGTGCTAAGTAAATTCACACTCCTGTGCAATCCATCCAGAACTTTTTCATCTTGCAAAACTGAAACTCTATATCCATTAAACAACTCCCCATTCCCTCCTTGCCCCAGCCCCTGGCAAGCACTATTCTATTTTTTGTTTCTATGAATTTGGTTATTCTAGATACTTCATGTAAGTGAAAACACAAGTAGTTGTCCTTTTGTGGCTCACTTATTTCACTTGGCATAATGTCAAGGTTCATCCATTTTGTTGCATGTAACAAGATTTCCTGTACCTATTTTGCTATTTGCCTTTTTTATTTAATACATCTTACATTTCTTTCTATGTCAGTATATGTAAGGACCACTTTATTGCTGCATATGGATGCACCATAGATTCTTAATTAGTTCCCTTACTGATGGACATTTAGGCTGTTTCCAGTTTTCTTCTATTATATACAGTGCTGTAACTAACTATCTAGTATATATTTCTTTGTGCACTGTGTATTTCTCTTGGGCTGATTTCTCAGTATTTCACCTGAGAGTGCTGCAATTAAGTGCACATGCATTTGAAGTTGTAATAACTACTACCACACGGCTAGGCAAAAATTGTGTCTGGCTTTCTGGGAATATAACTTAATTTGGAAAATTAAGTAGGTAGGCCCTGTGGACAAAGTCCCTCCAAAGGCATAGATTCAGATGTTCCTCAGACTTGGGTAGGGCCTAGAACCCATTGTGAGAAATGGAGGAAACTTCTTGGAAATAAGGAACTAGATATTAGAAAAGTATATGAGACTGCACCTCATTAGCTAAGAGGTACAGCCCAAAGACAGAAGCTGGAGATCTTCAGGGATCTATCAGATTAAGGTTAGAGTTTTAGGTCAATTTGGGAAAAAGGTAAAGTATATCCTAAAGTTGTGCTTCTCAAACTTTCACATGATCCCCAGGTGTTAATTCACTTGTGGACTGTGTTAAAATGCAAATTCTGACTCACTAGGTCTGGGATGGGTCTAAGATTGTGCATAGTTCTAACATACTGCCAGGTGACATTTTTCTGAAAAAAGTAAAGAATGAGAGACATAAAGGGGGAAATGTTTTCTAATTTCACAGAGAGCAGTAAGTTCCAAGAATATGTAAATATAAATCTATTTAATGGGAATTTCAGATTTAATTAGCATATTTTAAGAAACATTAAAGGGGTGGGAGAGTGAGTCTAGTCTCAGCTTTCTAGATCATTGATTTTCAAAATGTGGTCCTCAGATAAGCAGCAGAACATGATAGAGATGCAAATTATTGGGCCCCACACCTTCAGAATGAGAAATTCTGGGGGTGTGGCCCAGTAACCTGTTTTAACAAGTCCCCCAGGTGATTTTAGTGCATGCTAAGTTTGAGAAATTTGTGGATTTTTAATAAATACCATTTCCATGTAGTTTCTATATATATTGGTGATGAAGATTCTTTGGATTTTTCCTTGAAGGTAGATGGGACTAAAATATCCTTTAGTTGGAACTTATAAAGAAATTCTGAGTAAGACAGCAAAGTAGGGAAACAAAGTAGGTCCTTTTGCCAAATCTTATCTACTCACTGACTCAGATGTTTCTCAAATTGGTCAGATACCACAGTGCCTGTGTTATCAAGTAGGGAACTACATATAAACAACATTTAAGCCTCTGGTTCTGATCTGTCCTTAACTGACAATGTAACCTTGGGCAAATCAATCTGGGTTCTATTTTCTCAGTTGTAAAATTTGAGTGTTAAATGAAATGGTTTCTCAGGTTTCTTTCAGCTCTACACCTATATAATCCTAGATGCTGGCTCCCTTTTGATTTCTAAGAGGCCATCTAAGGAACCTCAATCACTTGAGAAATAAGAATCCTCCTCAGAATTTCTGTAATCCTAAAAACAATGTAAAATAACATTATATATATCATACTATATTATCTCTCCAAATGGAAAGAAGACAGAGGTTACTATTGCTTTGTTATTAACAGGAGAAACTGAAGACCTGAGGAATTAAAATGCTTCATTTAATAAACATATAATTTAATACAGGTGTCCCAACTGCAGCCTTTTCAAAACTCTACGACTTCTCATACCTCTTTATTTAATTTCAAGTGTCTTATTTAAAATTTGGGCACTTCTCTATATTACTACCAAACAGATCTTTTCTCCTCAGCAGTTTAGGGAGAATGTGAATCTTTCCCAATGTACTAGAAGTCTTCTCAGCCATAAAACTATAATTTATTTTCTAAAAGCAACAACAAGTACATACCGTAAGTTCCTTCCATGTTGGAAATGAAGGAGTTGAATCCAGGTGCTGAGAAAAAAGAAAAAGCAGTGGTTCAGGGATTGAGAAATGAAATGTACCAAAAGGTAGTTCTAAGTAACAGAGTTAAAAGTGGAACTGAAGCTACCCAACTCAGTGTAAGAAACCCTTAGCACCCACTGTCCCCCAATATTTTCACCTTTAAAGCATTCTTTACTACTTTGAAGCATTTTTAATATCATTGACTAATTCACACTCTTTCGGAATAAATGGTAGGGCTCACAAATAGTTAAAAACAAAACAAATAAGACTACTAATTAATACTGTATTCAGGTGATAAGATGTCAATCTTTTTTAAGTGCCATTACAATAGTCTGTCACTGTTTAACCATCTATTAGGATTTGATGCTATTTAATACTAGAGGGGGCAAATCAAGAGCATAAGAATACTGTTATTTAAACTTCAGGAGAAACATAGGAGTAGGGTACTATTTTAAAGCTCTCAAATTCTTAAAACTACATCCCAAGTCTTGCTCTCTCCTGGGACCTGGGAATGCTGGAAGCCTGTGTCAGACAATATACATTTTACCATCCAATATGCATGGAGACATTCTAGTTTATTATTTCTATGACTTTTCTTAAATATGATCAGGAAGTGCCACACTTCAGTGATGCTTCACCTCCCCACTCCTATCCATTTCTTATGCTAAAATGGATACACTTAGTTTAAATAACCAAGTCTCTCTAGTTAATACTCGTTCCCTCATGCAGGGAGGGAAAACTGAATGTTAGGGCTTTAGAACTGTCCATTTTATGGATAGCACAGTAACAAAAGAACAAGTCTGTAACAAATGTGGGAGATTAAAATATAAGAAATGGTTTTGTAGCTTGAATCTTCTAGTGGAGATCCCCCCCACTACTGAGCGCAGTGATTTCTGGGGAAAAAACTAAATTTATATAAAACCATCCCCACAGGAAACTTCTGAAAATTGGCTAGATTTACAGATATTGTCTCTAGAGCAAGCTCTCCTTTGGCCCCTCATATAATTCCCACCTGTTCTCCCCTTCTATGACATAAGCACCCTTGGAACCTCTGATATGAAATACAAGTGATTACCTGGAACTCAATAGTTCAGTAATTTTCTGCAGAGCCCATTTGTTAATGTCCTGAAAATATTTTTCATGTCTCGATTAAGAAATTCTGACCTTCCTTTTGATGTGTTTTACTTATAGTTACATTATACTTTTTCAGTAAAAATAAAAGGTTTGGAAGGAAGAATCAAGTGTTACGTTCCTTGATTTTAAGGCATTTAAGAGTAGTCAGCACCATATTCAGCACCGTGTAGGAAGCCAGTAAGACTAAGCACAGTAGATGAAAGGCAGTGGAGCCACAGCCACATCATTTGGTCGTGCCCATTTAATATCTTCTGCCTCAAACTGTTAACAGGTGATACCTTTTCCCTAGTACTAGGCTGTAGTGAACTATAGGGAACAGTCAAGTTTCGGGGCTGGATGCGGTCTTACGCAACTGGTTAAACTCTTTAACAGAGCTGGATAAAACAATCGTTTTTCTTCCTTTAAACAAAACAAGAGTACATTTAAGCAACGGGACTAAACAGTGGGTGGGTTATGGTGGATAATTTAAAAGAACGTAGATAGAGGTGCCAGGAGGCCCTTGAGGAGGCAGGGCGGTGGCAGAAGCGACGGCAGCCGAAACCGGGAGGCTGGGAACCCGCGAGGCCAAAGCCTATGGGCGGAAAAGGGCAGACACTGGAGGATGAAGGCTTCCCGGGACATTAAAGGTGAGCAGTTTGAGGGCCCCAAATCAGGGCCCAGACGCCTTTCCTACCTCTTGTGTGACGCGCTCTCCCACAGGCCGCCCCTCCTCATCCGCGCCCCAGCAACGCTCACTTCCGGCCCCTGACGTTAGGCGTGGGCCCCCACTTCCTGTGACGGTGCTACGGAGGGAATAGGAGCGGGCGGCTCAGCCTGGGCTCGCTGGGCCGCATCCTCCTCAGGCCCGCAAAATGGTGGCTGCTTTGCGTGGGTGGTATCACGCAGCCTTCCTTGGCTTTGCGGCGGCCCTCCTACGAAACAACGAACGCAGGGAAGCGGGCACTTGGGGAAGGAATAGAGCTGGTTAGAGGTGGGAGGCTGCTTGGAGAGGAGCCTTGTTTGTGGAAATTGTCCGGATAGAAGTGTAATTCAGACCTTGAGAGGAGGGAAGAAGAAAATTGTAAAGGAGATAACCAGGCAGAACTGCCAAAAAAAAAAAAAAAATTTACGGCAAGAATCTAGTTTTTGTTTAGCACTCATTGTAGAATGTGAAAATTCAAAAGCCAATAATAGTATCTGAGAATGTTGGTAGGCTGGATGCCCTAGTCAGGTTAAAGGGAATTTTTAGTGTTGAGAGCTCAACGAAAGAGTTGGAGAGGTAAAGAGGGTCAGAAAGTTGTAACTTCATAGTGGAAACCCCAGCATACATTGTGAGCCTTTGTTCTGGTATCTGATACCAAAAAAAGTAAAATAAAATAGTTCTTGTTCTTCAGGTGCTTAGGAAAACAGGTCCCCAAAGAGAATGAAAGGTTAAATGGCCGTATAACAGATGCTAAAAAGGTGACAAGAGACTGTAAATTCATATTAGGAATAAATCAGTGGGGCCCCAAGTTACCTGGGAAGGCTTTATGGAGAAAGGGAACTTGTGGTCTTTGAAGGCTGGACAGTAAACAAGGAAAATGTTGACGTTACAGGTAGCTATGGTGATACTGTTTTTCAAAATCAAGAAGTAAAAATGCAATATGACCATTTTTTGTACTATCCAAGGTGTAGGAGGCTGCCTGGGAGATCAGTCTGGGTGATGAAATATTGGGATGTTTGGAACATTGGGATATTTAGTGGTTTATAGAACCTAAATGTGACTTAGACCAACCTATCATGACAGCAAAAACTGAGTACGGCCTTAGTGAAAAGGATCATGGCTGTGGGACATTTTATTTATATGTGAATAACTTGTAATTTTTGTGAATGAATTGTTATTTTTTAAATTATCAGCCTTTGGACTGAAGAGAGTGTTTCACAGTCTTTGGTTCATAATTAAGATCCTAAAAAGAACTGTTGATATGAGCTTGCCCAAGTCATTCTTGTTTTAGGCTCATGGCTCTATAATCTTGTCTGCACATTAGAATTGAAAGGAAGGAGCGACACATAGCAGCAATTCACTAGCAGCAATTCACTGGAGAATTCCACTTTATTAGGGAAAGGTGCTGGGTTATATAGGAAGGGGCATGGGGTGATTGTGGTGTTACTTCTATGGGGCTGGTGGCTATTGGCTAGGTGCTGGGATTGGGAGGGGGGAGAGAGGTGATTGGGCTTCAGGTAGCGCGGGCGGGAACTGAGGACCCGGAAGAGAAGCAGGAAGTTCACCATCTTATGGGTGGGGGCCCTTCAAGAATCATCTGGGGAGCTTTAAAGATACACTGTTCTAAGTTCCCATCCCAGCCCAGTTAATCAGAAAGGGCTGGGTGAAGTTATTTTTAAAAAACTACCAAGATGATTCTGATGTGCACTTAGCATTGAGAACCACTGACCTAGGCACTGTTTGGAATTTACAAAAGCTATTCTTTCACCTGGGTGGCCTGGATGATTCCTGTGGAGGAGCAAGCTGTTAAAGTGCTTCTTGAAAAATAATTGCTAAAAATGAAAGCTTCATTGCAAGTTTAGCATAAAACATTTAAGAAAAAGCTGCTGTTTTGGCAAATTGGTTTCAGATTGTTAGAAATATTTTAAAGTAATCTTTATGAAATCCTAAACCTTCGAAGCTATCATATTCATGCAGATTGGTCAGGCCAGTGTGATTTAAATCAAAATGTGATTTTTCAGGCTCTAAATTGCAGTAATTGGTTAAATTTTTGACACTGTTACTGTGACCCATAAGGACTTTTCAGAGACCTGCAGACTGAAATTTCTGAAGAAGAAGCAGCTGAGTGCTTGAGAGATGGGGAATGGGTACCAAGCCAGAATCTAAGTCAGGCTTCACTGCATTCAGTAATGGCTTGTCAGGGTGACAGGATTCTTGACTGATAAAGCTGTTCCATTTAGCAGCAGTGAACAAGCCCACCAACTTTCAAACAAACAAAACCCTTGATTGTCTTTCAGTGGAGATTTTAAAATAAAAATGCACCATACATCTATTCTTTCTATTTTTAAGTGATTTGTTCATTTCTTTGTTCAATCCAGAAAGTTCCTGCTTTATCTAAGATCCCTGCTGAGCTTTCTTTCAGACTGGTTTTCCAGTCATGTTGAATGTATTTGAAAATGAAAAAAACACAGCAGGGCATGTATACAGGGCAATTCTAGGAGCTGGCTGGGATTAATACCCTAAACTGAATCTGATATTTGCTTGTTCTATCTGGTTGTCTTGCCAAAGGGTTTCAGCCCTTGACAAATTCACTATGGATTCAGAGAGACCAAAAAAAAAAAAAAAAAATGGCAGTGGAATGTTCTTTTTTAAAATTATTTATTTATTTATTTATATTAAGGTGTCATTGATACACACTCTTATGAAGGTTTCACATGAAAAAACAATTCACCCATATTACTGTGTCCCCCCATACCCCATTGCAGTCATTATCATCAGTATAGTAAGATGCCAGAGTCATTATTTGCCTTCTCTGTGCTACACTGTCTTCCCCATGATCCACCCTACACCATGTGTGCCAATCATAATACCCCTCAATCCCCTTCTCTCTCCCTCATCCCTCCCCATTGGTAGCTGCTAGCCCCTTCTTGGAGTTTGTGAGTCCTCCGTTGTTTCGTTCTTTCAGTTTTGCTTCGTTGTTATACTCCACAAATGAGGGAAATCTTTCGGTACGTGTCTTTCTCTGGCTGGCTTATTTCACTGAGCGTAATATCCTTCAGCTGCATCCATGCTGTTGCAAATGGTAGGATGTGTTTCTTATGGCTGAATAGTATTCCATTTGTTTCTTCCTTATGGCTGAATATATGTACCACATCTTCTTTATCCATTCATCTACTGATGGCCACTTAGGTTGCTTCCATATCTTGGCTATTATAAATAGTGCTGCAATAAACATAGGGGTGCATATGTCTTTTTTAAAACTTAAGTTTAAATTTAAATTTATTTTTTATTTTGGTGTAATTAATATACAATTACATGAGCAATGTTGTGGTTACCAGATTCCCCCCATTATCAGTTCCCCACCACAAACTCCATTACAGTCACTATCCATAAGCATAGTAAGATGCTATAGAGTCACAACTTGTCTTCTCTATGCTATATTGCCTTCCCTTACATTATGTGTGCTAGTCGTAATGCCCCTTACTCCTCTTCTTCCCTTCCCACCCACCCTCCCAGTCCCATTCCCTTTGGTAACTGTTAGTCCTTCTTGGATTCTATAAATCTGCTGCTGTTTTGTTCCTTCAATTTTTGCTTTGTTCTTATGCTCCACAAATGAATGAAATCATTTGGTACTTGTCTTTCTCTACCTGGCTTATTTCACTGAGCATAATACCTTCTAGCTCCATCCATGTTGTTACAAATGGTAGGATTTGTTTTCTTCTTATGGCTGAATAGTATTCCACTGTGTAGATGTACCACATCTTCTGTATCCATTCATCTACTGATGGCCACTTAGGTTGCTTCCATTTCTTGGCTATTGTAAATAGTGCTGCAATAAACATAGGGGTGCATATGTCTTTTTGAAACTGGGATCCTGCATTCTTAGGGTAAATTCCTAAATGGGGAATTCCTGGGTCAAATGGTATTCCTATTTTTAGTTTTTTGAGGAATCTCCATACTGCTTTCCACAATGGTTGAACTAATTTAAATTCCCACCAGCAGTGCAGGAGGGTTCCCTTTTTTCCGCATCCTTGCCAGCATTTGTTGTTCCTATTCTTTTCCGTGTTGGCCATCCTAACTGGTGTGAAGTGATATTGTGGTTTTAATTCACATTTCCCTGATAGTTAGCGATGAGGAACATCTTTTCATGTGCCTGTTGGCCAGTTGAATTTCTTCTTTGGGGAAGTGTCTGTTCATATCCTCTGCCCATTTTGTAATCAAGTTATTTGCTTTTTGGGTGTTGAGGTGTGTGAGTTCTTTATGTATTTTGGATGTTAACCCCTTGTGGGATATGTCATTTACAAATATATTCTCCCACACTGTAGGATGCCTTTTTGTTCTGCTGATGGTGTCCTTTGCTGTACAGAAGCTTTTTAGCATGATGTAGTCCCATTTGTTCATTTTTTATTTTGTTTCCCTTGCCTGAGGAGATGGGTTCAGGCATATGTATTTTTGAATCTGTGAAATTATATTCTTCGGGTAAATTCCTAGAGGTGGGATTCCAGGGTCATGGTATTTCTATTTTTAGTTTTTTGAGAAACCTCCATACTGCTTTCCACAATGGTTGAAATAGCTTACATTCCCAGTGTAGGTGAGTTCCCCTTTCTCTGCATCCTTGCCAGCATTTGTTGTTCTTAGTCTTTTCGATACTGGCCATCTTAACTGGTGTGAGGTGATATCTCATTGGGGTTTTTATTTGCATTTTCCTGATAATTAGTGATATGGAGCATCTTTTCATGTGCCTATTGGCCATCTGAATTTCTTTTTTGGAAATGTGTCTGTGCATATCCTCCGCCCATTTTTTAATCAGGTTATTTGCTTTTTGGTTGTTGAAGTATGTGAGTTCTTTATATATTTTGGATGTTAACCCCTTGTTGGATATGTTGTTTACAAATATTCTCCCATACTGTAGGATGCCTTTTTGTTCTGTTGATGGTGTGTGCTGTATGGAAGCTTTTTAGTTTGATGTAGTCCCATGTATTCATTTTTGTTTTTTTTCCTTGCTCGAGGAGATGCGTTCAGGAAAAAGTTGCTCATGTTTACATTCAGGTTTACATTCAGGAGATTTTTGC